CTCAAGTGTGATACCTCAAATGTCTTATAACAAACCAAGAACAAAAGGAGGAATTTGAGAGAGAAGTAAGGAGACATAAAATCGGTTATATTTCTCTTAGACTTATAGGGGCCGATTTTAGTAAGCTAGGGATCATATTTATAGTTTGGAATCCTTAAGGTTTAAACTTGTAAACCTTAATTCACTTGGACTTTTAATCTAATAACTTATTAGCCTTATGGACTAACTCTTCATGGATTCTCATAAAGATTTAGTCCGTTTCTAATCAACATGGATCATTAGCCCAAACTATAAATATTACTTATTTACCTAATCAGTCCCTGCAAATTTAATTAGTCTCTTTTGACCACTAAATTAATTCTGGATCAATACTAATTAAATAATATGATTTCTCAATTAATATATTATACTTATAATATATTAATAAATCACAAATAACCTCTCTCTCAAATATCCATCCTATCAAATTGTTCCAAAGTGTTACAACCCAAATGGGCCATGCTGTATCGGGTCATGTACATAACAATTGTAGTTATGGGCTTAGACACGTAATCCAACAGGGATATGGTTCTCCTGATGGTATCACCTTAGAAAGATGCCATTCGATTCAGGAAGAGAGGCAAGTTAGGCCCCATGTACTTCGGTCCTTTCAGGGTTTTGGCATGAGTGGGCCAGGTGGTTTATCATTTGGATCTTCTCGAGGAGCTTAGTAAGATCCATATCACTTTCCATGTCTCTCACCTGCGGAAAAGTTTAGTGGATGATTCCACGGTGGTTCCATTGGAGGATATTCAGGTGGATGATCGTCTGAATTATATCAAGAGACTGGTGACAATTCTTGACCGGAAGATGAAAACCTTGAGGAACAAGGTCGTTGAGTTAGTGAAAGTTCAGTGACAACACCGCAAGGGTTCAGAATGGACGTGGGAACCCGAAGACGAGATGAGGGAGTACTACCCAAGTTGTTTGGGGCAGCGGACTTCAAGGACGAAGTCTGATTCAAGTGGGGGAGAATTGTAACACTTGGAATATGGTAAGTTTCCTTTTATCCCTTTATGAAAAATTGTTAACATTTTGGTCCTTGGCTAGTATGCATGGCGTACTCTATGAGTATGCTTAGCGTACTAGCTCTTAGTTGAACGTGTGTTTCATCCACGTACACGGGGCATATGTGGTGTAGGGGCAAACCCTAATTTTTAGAGTTTGCACCCTATTTAATCAACTTAAACCACCTCTTGGAAATTTATTGACCAACCTCCATCTCCGTATATCGTGAAAATGAAACCCTATGTGCATTTGGTGTGATTTGAGCTTGAAAGTAAGTTGGTGTATTCTGGTGAAGAAGAAGAAGAAGAAGATCTTGAGCTTGTAGATCCAGATTTACCTTCACATTTGCAAGCCTTTTAAGGTAAAAATCTCTCACCTTGATGGTCATTTGTGCTAGATCTATTTGATGGTGTTATTTATGCATTTTTGAGTCCTTTAAGTTAAATTTAAGCCTTTGATCTACTCCAGAAGCAATGGATGTTAGATCTTAGCTTCATGGAGGTTCCTTATTCATAAAAATGCAAACTTTATGAAAAATATTGGTCCATGCAAGTGTTAACAACTTTATTGAGCTTCTTTTTTAGTATTGGGTCCCATTAATCCATGCATGGGTGTAAAGTTGCCAACTTTACGTATTAAGCCACCCTTAGGGACTAGATCTGAGAGTTTGGTAAAAGGTATTAAATGTTTAAGTGCTTAACGGAGTGGTTTGGTAGTCTGCGGATTACGCTAGGCATACCTAGTTGGTACGCTGCGCGTACTGACCCCGGACGGAGTACGCTAAGCATACTAGCTGAGTACGCCTCGCATACTCAACAGATGGACCGTTGATCTTGGTGATTTTCGGTGTTGGGTCATGCTTGGGATTTTTAAGATTGGGCCTTATTAGGCCATTATACTTCCGATTTTGGCTTTTGCTAGCATTTTGGGCTTCCTAGGATTTAGGCCCAGGATGGGTTTTGGACCAAATTTGGAAGATTGGGCTTTGGGTTGCCATTAGGCTTTGGGCCTTGGTTTTGGGCCAAGTAAGAAAAAAGGTAAATGGTCTTTTACCCTGATTATTGGCTATGTAGCTTAAAGTCCTGGTTATGGGTCGAGATCTAATTATTAATTGGATATTATTTATATTATTTCACGGCAAGGATTTTTACGGATCAATAGACCAAGATTTATTTGAGTGTTTCAGCAGCTAGAGGTGAGTTTCCACACTGTGTTTAGTAGGTTAAAGGCACCAATGTCAGCCCATGATTTTTTTATGTTTAGGATGCTAGATGTTTGCGTGACTCTTGCATATGTATGTATTTGTATGTTTATCGGGCGTGCCCTGATGACCATTATGTATGCTATTTATATTTGTGATTATTGCATGTGTTATGTGTTTATCTGTTATATGTTTATTTGTGTATTAGGTGGGGCCTAATAACTGACAGATCTGTATACTGAACGGGGCCCGATGACGAGCGGGGCACAATATATGTTAATTATGTATGGTGTGTAGTGTTTTGAGAAACTCACTAAGCTTTGTACTTACCGTTTTCACTTTATGTTTTCAGGTACTTCTGGTTCGAAGGGGAAGATCCTAGGATGATTGCATTGTACACACCACCTCGTTCCACATTTTATATTACTCTGATTTATTGGTATGTTATTGATACACTTTGATTCACCAAGGTTTCTACGATGATGTTTTGGATAATAGTTTTATTAATTTAAAAACGAAAAATTTTAGTGATGGTTTTGAAACAATTGTACTATGGTATTTTGGATATTATATCCAGTGATGGTTTTGAAACAATTATTGAACGAAATTGATAGTTTTTCAATAAAAAAATTATTTTTTTTTTGGGCTATTACAAATATATAGAAATACCTAAACCCTAAGGGCCTTAAGCCTAAACCCTGACCTATACACTAACATATCCCACAATTTGATCAGGAATAGGCAATTAAACTGGAAAAAAACATAAAACATAAAATATAGATGGAGATTAAAATAACTAGAGCTTCGGTGGCGAAGTTAGCACCAAAGACGGTAGGGTTCCGCTGATATTGACTACATGGAATCTTATGGGCAGAAAAAAGGAGGCCAACAGAGATCAAGAGTTGGACGTATCAATTGTAGCTATGATAACGGCCACATTTGCAAGCGGCGACGACCAGAGCTTAAGGTAACGTCGATGGCAATGGCTTTATCGGTTAGAACTAGATGCAACGATGATGGGAAAGAACCAATGATCCGAAAAAGTCAGCATCGAAAGACATTGGAGAATGCAATAGAGGCTTTAACAACTATTTATATGACGGATGTGTTCTTTAGGATGAGAAAGATGTGAGAAGATTTGAGAATGGGAAAAAAATAATTGGATAGGAAAGGCACTTTCGACGACTACAAGATAAGGTCGTTAGAGGCGGAGAACAACGACCAAGTAGTCAACAGCAGAGGATTTAACTTAAAGCTCTGATATCATTGATAGATGATAATTTGTTTGATTACTTACATGGCAATTACATAGAAATATCTAAACACCGAGAGCATTAAGTCTTGGGCCTAAACCCTACCCTAACCTTACACACTAATTGTTTCTTCGAACAAGTTAAAATCAAAACCAAACTATTTGTGACATAAAAAAATCACTCTTCTACTATAAAAAGGTGTAAAGGTAGGAGGGGGGGGGGGGGGGTTAGGGAGGGAGGGAGGAAATTTGTTTTTTTATTAAATTATAACAAAAATTAAACAAACATAATAAATATGAAATATGTACAATGACTTAAATCAAACATTTGATTGAAAAATTGTGATATTAAACAAATGATCAGCCTTATATTTATACGAACAAAGTTAGGGCTTAGGGCCCCCACATCTAGAGGGCCCCACAAATCAAGGAGTCCATGTATGTCCCTAATCGGCTAAGGCGCTAAGCTAATCGTAACATCAAAAAAATGAGGCGCTTAAACTTCTATCTTCTTCCTCTCCATTCTTTAATTCTAAATACAAATTTTGTGAAGTTGAACCGTTGTTGAAATACTTCTTCTGATTAACGGCACGAGGCTGCTTTGGTCATTCCTTCTGTTGTTCGGCTTTTTCCTTCTCCATTGAGGCCTTCTCCAATAGCCATAAACGGTAATATATGTCAATAAGTGTTGTTTTTCACTATCTTGAACATCTCCACCATGTTTCTGCTTTAGCTTCCCAATATTAGGTTTACTAATCTTGTCAAATTTCACTTGAATTATATGTCCATTAGGATTGATTATGCTCTTGATTATAGATTGTTTCTGCAAAGATAGATTGCAGACTTGTAGTCAAAGGGTCCTAAAGTTTTGATTCTCTTCGAGCCATCAAACTGGTTGAGTCGGCCCTCGTTAAACACTACCAAGAACATTTTGGAACGAAGCATTTGGAATAAAGTTTTCATTTTTTTTAACTAAAAAGAAAAATTATTTATAATAGTTAGTTTACTAATTTCCTTATAATTAATCATACAAGAAGACTAGATTACCCTTTGAACAACCTTCCCACTCTGGTAATCAATAAGGTTAATTCTCGTTTCTTTTCTTTTTCTTCATTCACAAAGCAACCTCGCTCTTTTTTTTCGATGGTTTATTCATCAATCTACAAAACTAATGTGTGAAGGAAAAGCCCACTGCAACTAAACAGTAGTAAAGAATAAAACAGAAATGACTCAATTAGTGAATTCTAAACTTAACATATGCTCACGATATCAAATTTGTTTAAATAATTTTAAATCATAATTCGTGGAGCACCCTCATAGACACCCGTCAAACCGAATTAAATGTGCAAAACCTCGATGGTGCTTTAAAATTGGAAAAATGCAAAGAAAATGAACTAGAAGGGGTGAATATGTAAAATACGTAAAATATGGTGGTCATTTTGAGATTTCCCACCCAACTTGTTCCCCTACAAATACTCTTCGCTTTCTTCATCTGTCGCCTTTGTAGTTTGTACCATCTGAATCTGCCACGAGAAACTAAAGCCGATAAATCTTGACGCGAGAATCTCTCTCCAATGGTAAGTGAATGATCAGATCTGATTACTATATTACACATTGTTGCCATTATATTGGTCGATTCATTTTACCCTTTTTCGTTTCTCTTCGATCATAACTGCATTCGCCATTTTCAATTATCCTCAATATCAATCTGTGAATTAGAAAGATGGATTTATCCAAATTTAGCGATCAATTAGCTATTTTGTCAGTTGGAGGTCCGAATTTGTTCTAAGATCTGTTATCGGGTTTTGCTGTTTCATATCTGTGATCGATTGGTTGTTGAGTTCTAGGAATTGTAAGATTTGTGGGGCTCAGATCTGCACTAATGCAACCTTTCTTTTCAAAATAAGAGTTCTAATTACTTCAATTCTAACGATGGCATTGTCAATAAATTTTAGATCCACTCCTATTAATGGAAAGTCTTAATCTGTTTACAGATTTCGTTGTTGCAAAATGTAGAACTTTGACATGATGTATATATGCTGCATTGTTACGAATTTTTGATGGGGCTTCAGATATCTTTATGTTTGATGCGTCTTGTTGTAGGAGTCTTGCCCTTCTGTGAAGAACATTTTACTTTTGGATTCAGAAGGATTGCGTGTAGCTGTGAAGTATTATACAGATGACTGGCCAACTAATAGCTCTAAGGAAGCATTTGAAAAGTCTGTGTTTACCAAGACTCAGAAGACAAATGCACGAACAGAATGTAAGTATTAAAGTCTCTGTTTCTTTATGTACTTATAGTTTATATTTTTCATATATCCTTTCATTGATGTGCTTATAACTTAACTGAGATTATAATTAGTATAAAGTTAAATGCAAAATATGAAACATTTATCTTGGATTTAATTGCAGCTGAAATAACAATGTTTGAGAACAACATAATCATCTACAAATTTGCTCAAGACCTTCACTTTTTTGTTACTGGAGGTGATGAGGAAAATGAGCTCATTATATCCACAGTTCTTCAAGGTTTCTTTGATGCAGTTGGTCTTTTACTTAGGTACTTTGAAATGAATATATCCGATTACTTCATCTACTTTTTTGATAAAAAAAAATACTGAGTAAAGTAAAATCATCTTAATAAACTTTTGTTTTACAGGGGCAATGTGGATAAGAAGGAGGCTCTTGAAAATCTAGATCTCATTTTATTGTGCCTTGATGAAATTGTTGATGGCGGGTAAGCTTTTAAAGATCTCAACTTTAATCGATAAATATTAGCGCAAATTGTGGAAAATAGCAACATACTTTAGTATTTACTCTCACTACCAATATAGGCAATGTACTTTATTTTTTACCTATAATAGCAACATTTAACCTGAAACATATAAACTGGTTACATTTGTTAGAATTACATATTGCTATTATTGGTAAAGAAATTTAAGTATGTTGTTATTATGAGTAAAAACATGCAAGTATTTTGCTACTATGCTTTGTAGAATCATCCTGGAAACAGATGCAAATGTTATTGCTGGAAAGGTTGCAAGCCACAGTGTAGATTCTGGAGCTCCTCTATCTGAACAGGTGCATTTTTTTTTCTTTTTTCTTAATTAAGTCTTGTATGGATAAATGATGTTTATAAAGTATATGAGAAAATTAAGGAAAAATATGTAGAAAGTTAGGATGTAATGGGAAAGCCTTAATTCCATGACTTTCTCTATTAAGACAATCTTTCTGTATTAAGTGAAATAGCTTAACTGATTATATTACTAATTTTATGTTTGCAGACAATAAGTCAAGCATTGGCAACTGCTCGGGAACATCTTACAAGATCTCTTCTTAAGTAATAAGATCTTGAACTTAATAAAGAAAAAAGATTGTTACTTTTTTGTTTATTACTGAAAGATTCTGACTTTAAATTAATTACTTAATTTCAGTGTATGATGATGATGATGATAGAGTTTGGGAAGAATATGGAAATCAAATGCAGTGGTTTGTTGAGAGTTAGATATGCATGGTAATCTTTTATTCTTCTTGTTGTGTTTCTTATAGGGTATAAATTTGGTTTTTGTATTGAGTACACCATTTTGCTGAATTTGAATATTATTCAATGAATGTTGTTTATTGTTTATAGTGAGAAAAGATGATGAATATGTTTTTTATTTTTATTTTTCCATATAAGTTTTTTGAGATGACTCTGGTTAAATAGTCATAATGACACAACTGATTGACTTAATCAGGCAATGTACAGATGAGTTGAAACCAAACGATTGTGTCATAATAGATTAATAAGATAATCACGGCTTTTGGGGGCAACATTGGATATTAAATGATTCAATTGTTAAGTACTTTGCTAAGAGTTCTCGAGGTTACTTATTGGTTTTTTATAAGTAGTTGGGGTTTCAATGAAATGGACTAAACTCACTAAAACTATATTAACGGTCTATGCATTATGAAAATTTTCATTGATCCAACAAAGCAACTTAGTAGTGCACATTACAAAGCGTTAAGGAAAAACCCCATCAAAGTCATTAAGCCTCTTCTCTTCCTATATTAATCATATATTCGCATTAAGTCAAAACGAAACATAAACATCACATGATCACTCTTAAGGTGGACGGAGATGTAGGTACCTATCATAAATGTGTTTCACCGAGTTAGTATTTTGTGAATTAGTGTTGTATGATTTTATTGAGTTTGTATTTGTTTCAAAATAAAAAATTGAATAGGTCATAAGGTATGAGAAATATGAGTTTACAATATAAAATATGTTGTGAGATGAAAAGAGTAAAAAGAGATAAGGAAAAGCTATAGCACTAATACGACTAGTGGTAGAAAGAAGTGGGAAATATGATGGAAACCCTGCATCCTTAAGAGATTGTTTGGTAGAAACCAAATGATTCATTACTAAACCATTAAAAGAGCTGATTCAATGCTAATTGTTAAGGTTGTTGAAAGAGAAAAACCATTATTTTAAACTTTAATCTACAAATCTCTTACTCCAATAACTATCGGAAAAACTAAGTCCCAGTAGCACATTTCCATATATGGTCCAATGAATAGCTTCAAACTCACTTTTAGCTGAATGGTTCAGATTCAGAGACTCAAACGAGACAGAATAATTCTAGCCTATTAAATCACGTCACTCTAAGTCATTAACACCTTTAGACTCTTAACAGGTTCTAGCCAGCCTTTATAGACGCACACAACATGCACAACATAAATAAGGAAAATACTACATTTTCTTATATAAAAAAAAAACAGCACGATATTAAAACCATATTTAAGACAGCTAAATCACCATCAAATACTATAAATCACTTGACGATGAACGAGGAATTAAAAACCCACAAAACAAACATTTAAAAAAAAAAACCAACAATAAAACAAAAAACAAAAAGTCAAAACTAACGAGAATTAGCACGCACGTCCCTACATCAAACTAACCGAATAGAATACAACCTCTCTCAAGGCAACAAGGCACAGGGCAGCAGCAGCTAAAACCAAGTGTGTAGCAATACACTCTCTTACTTCATTCCATTATTTCATACTTGAAGAATTAACCCCACTTTCAAACTCATTACAAGACCCTGAAAAACCCTTTGAGTCAGGTATTCCCATTCATTCATTCCTTCATCCATCCATCCATCCATTAGTAGCTGTTCTGCCATAGTTGCTGCTGTGACTGCTGCTGTGGTTTTGCTTGTCCCTGGGACCCACCCACACCCACAAGAGAACCATCACGCGGGTTTTGCTGGAGCTGGTGCTCCGGCGAGATCCCCGCCTGGGAGTGGTAGTAGTTTGGGTAGTTTAAAGCGGCACCACCGTATGTCTGGGATGGCTGCTGCTGAGCTTGCCGGAACCCCGTTGGCTGCTGGTTTTGACCCTGGAAACTGTAGTATGTGCTGGCGGGGACAGCTGACATTGTCCGGGACCCGGCTCCGTGTACCCACATTCCCGAGTTGTCATTCTGTAAAAATAAATATAAATTGTTACGTCTTTTTACACTAAGGTAAGCAAAACTACAAAAGAGAAATAAATACCTGTTGAAGAGATAGCAACTGACTGTTCTCTTTATAATGAGCATTCAACACATCATCATAACTTAAAGTGGATCCAGCGGGACCCGCAGCCTGATTAACTTGATAATTCCCAGGAATTGCAGTTGAGCTTCCAAACGAACCATAACCAGAAGGAACAGCTGCAGACTGTGGCAAACTGCTGACTGAAACACTGTTTTTATATTGAGGAAGAACAGCTGCCAGCTGTTGATGATACGTGCTATTTCCAGCAAAAGCTTGTTGAAAACCAGATGGCATGTACGTGTAGCTTTGAGGAAGAAAAGGGTACCCAATCATGTTTGCAAAAGGCCCTAATGGAAGTGTAGGTTGGGAGTAGGGGTGCACTGTAAGGTGTTGTTGCGGGAGAGCGGGGCCCGTTGGGATTGTGTTTCCAGGTGGCGTTTGTTGTTGTTGTTGTTGTTGTGCTGGTTGAGATGATGAGAAAACACCCGTTTTCAAAGCCTGGACAAAATCGTAAATTTGTAATTTTATGTATGATATGATATTGATAATGATAATTGATATCTAGTTAATTAAAATAGTGAAATACCTCTGCCATTGAAATAGTTGAGCTACCATATTTAGTAGGCATCTGTTGACTAATAGGAAATGGTGAGTATGAAAGATCAGATTCTCCAACAGGATGACCATTTGCTGCTAACAATGTGCTTGGTAATGAGTTTGTATATGCAGCTTGCTGCATCAGAAATATATAAAAAAAGGTGAGAAAATAGTAAAAGTAGATTAAAAAAAATTCATCTATATTATTAGTTTATTATTATTATTATTTATTATTACCATGACATTTGAGAAAGGAGTTGGAGTTTGCATCTGTGTAAGTGTCTGAGATTGAGGGAAAGAAGGGTTCAATAGCTGAGTGGTATCAAAGGTGTAACCCTGTCCAGGTGTCGATGAAGAGAAGCTATATTGATTGCCATGTGTCACTTCAGGATTCTCTTGCTTTAACACCTCTGTTTGTGAAGCAGAAGGTAAATCATAATTTGATCTGACTTGATTGCTTTCTGATGTCATTATAGACTCATCATTGTAGTACTCCGGATTTCTGCAGATGGAACTTTACAATTTTAGATAAAGAATCAATGGAATCCAAAGGGTATTTACATCTTTTGCACACACTAGAAATCCAAAGTAATCCTTTTCCAACTAACTTTTGGTCACATTAGTCACAATCCACTCATGCTGAACGACCATGATGAGGATGAGAAGGGTATTTATGTCATTTGTCATATTATTTTTACCTGGTTTCAGAAGGTCCAACAGATTGGGTATCTGGCTCAACAGGAGGCTCTTCTACTTTGCTTCTCATCTGTCTGGATGTGAAAGATCCTGGGAATCCAGTGTTCATTGTGGCACCAAAGCTTCCAAAACTTAAATGTGAGCAATCAGCAGTTTGAACTTGAAGGTGATTTGGGATTACTACAGAAGGAATATCCTCTTCTTCTTCATCCACGTGGCTCTCTTCTTGTATGTTAAGTTGTTGCATGTTTGCACTCACTGAAGCTGCTGACACATCACCTTCTTCAACTGAATAAGTCAAAGACTATTTTTGTTAAAAAAAAAGAACATCATCATAAAAAGGGCTTAAGAATGTAGTGACATACCTTCATTGTGCTCAAAAGCATTATCCTCATGATGGAAAGAGTCCATTTTTTTATACAGATCATTCTCATAAACAGGGACACTTCCAGATGTATCTTCAACATGATTTGTAGTATGATCTTCAAAACCACCTTCATCTTCACCTTGAACCTCATCTGTATGATCACCCACATACTGATGATCATTTCTCTCATATTGCAAATCCAAATGTCCAACATTTTCAGGCTCTACATGAGGCTCCACTGTTTGTATCCCAACTGTTTGTGGTTGCTCAATTGAGGGCCAATCATCAACAGGAGAAACAGAATCATGTTCTTGATGGATTTCAGGAGCTTTAGAACCATATTCTTCAAACTCATAATGTGTTGATGGAGGCTGTGTAACAGAGGTGTTAGTGTTATATGTCTTGTTTTGTGGTCTACCCATTTTCACAATGTCAGCCATTGACTTTTGACCAGGGACACCACCCATCCATGCAGATTGATATCCAGTGGAAGGTTGTTGTGAAACGGTTGTGGGACCCTCGGGTGCACTGAAAGTTGATGCTTTATTTTCATAGCCAATAGAACCACTACATTAGCAAAGCCAAAACCATTAGGGTGTGCAAAAAGAAAATGAATTGGTTTATAAAAAAAAACAGTTTGGTTTTTGGGAAAAAAATATTGAGATTAAGTTTGGTTTTGTATTATATGAAAAGCAACCCAATAGAAAATAGACAAAAGATGTTTGCTTTATGTATAAGTTTTAACTGATAGAGAATAGTGTTTAAGTTTTATTCTATTATTATTTAGTAAATTAGTTTTGTTGTTCAATTTTATCAACATGATTGATTAAGAAACACAAGATGAAAACCGAAGAAAACGGTTTTTAAAACTCAAAATACAACTTTTTAGTTTGATTCGGTTTAGAAAAAGTAAATTCTTCATGGCATCACATGATCTATATATGGGTGTTTCTTTTTGACTAAATACAAAAAGAACGACTGAATAGAGAAAGTAATGGAGAAAGAAGCTTTCCCCATAAAGTCCGACCTTTTTACAATTTGTCCTCAATCATAGTGTTGCTTTTATCAAATAATATTTAAACATCATTCATCTCTATAACATTGTTACCTGAAAGTTGGTGGATTCCGATTTGTGTTAGTTGCAGAAACCCCATAATTTGGAGCAGATGAGCTTGTATAAGAACTTGTCCCATTTTCCCTCCTAGGTTTCCCATGTAAACCACCAGATTCTACAAAAGAACACATTAAATAAGAATTAATGCATAATCATATATATTCAAGTTTACATAAAACCATACAAATATATATCAACTTTTATACCAGAAGAGCTAAATTGTGTTGAACCACCACGTGCAGCATAACGATCTGCACCACTTCTGCCACCACGGCTTGAAGTGCTACCACCACCACGAGGCCTGGATTCTGTGGTATCCTTAAACTAAACAAAAACAAAAGTGATAAGTAAATAAGTAAATGAGAAATTGAATAACATATAATGAAGTTAATGGGATAGGACTTGATCCAACTCTACACACCTCCTTTTTCTTTTCTCGCTTGCTCTTCACCTCATGAAAAGGATCTAAAATATGAAAATAGAAATTTCATGTTAGGAGTGATGTTTTAAACTTATTATGTATATACAAGATGGACTTTGCATATGGTACTACTTATTGTTTTCCACTAATTTGAAAAAAAAACATAAGAGTTTTGAAGAGGTTTCATGTGAATCACTTGTGTTTACCCAAAAACAGGATCACTGTATATCAAAATATATAATGAGTAGTTAGAAAAGATCATACAAAAGGCATAAAGGTAAGAACACACTCTGGAAATTGCCACTAAAATCCAGAGCCATATGTTGGTTTTAAACCTTTCATTACCATGATACATTAAGAAGATCCTCCAAATTAAAAGTCTTGCTACTGAATTTCTAGGAAAAAAAAAGTATAGGAAAAGAGCTATAATAATTAATAAATCAATCTAGTTTTTCTCATATTTAGAAACAGCAAAACAAAACCCACTTAAAAGACATACAATGCTCTAAATCTCCATGATCAACTCATGAAAAGGAAATTTTAAAGAATATATGTAGTTGAATATTTCTACACATAGAGAGTTCCAGTTTCTTTGAGTACCCTCTAAATTTTATTTTTTTGCAGTGATAGACACCCTAAATCCCACAAAAGCAATAATCTTTTGCTTGTATGACAAGGGAACCTGCTTCAAACTTTGTAGTGCGAGAACGAGACAAATAAAAAAAATAGACAACTATTGTGAAATCTTTAGAGATTATCATCGTAACAAATAAAACAAGATATGAGAAATTCAAAAGCACGAAAAGCAATTTCTTTTTCACCTTGAGAGAGGAGCCGATTAACGGCTTCGTTAGGGTCCATATTACAATCTTTAAGCGCAGAGTAGATCTCAGCTTCCGAGACTCCGTTTACAATCTCCTTGAGACTCTGTACCATCTTCCTAGACGCCGCCGGTATTCCTTGTACTCCTCCGCCATTATTACCTCCGCCGCCGCCTCTGCTACCCATAGTTCTTATCAGATCTAAACTCGACGCTGCCGCCGCCGCACCACCAGCGATTCCACTCCCAACAAAGCAAGAATCTGTGAATCCGTTCGTGTTTAACACAGTTACACGCAGTTCGAAGGAGAGTGATGAGTACTAGTGGCGATGGAATCCGCCGCGACCAGAAGAAGAGATATAAGAAGCTTTCGAAAACCCTCCACTCGCCCACTCCTCCCCTCTATTTATTTTAATTTTTAATTTTTAATTTTTTTTTTCTTATTTTTTTTTTTAGTAAGGTCTGTTTTGGGGAATTGATTTACATAAATATTATTGGTAAAAAAACAGCAATAATCGCCAAATATAAGTTATTCTGCTCAAATATGATATGGAGCCAAGCATATCGTGTATGCTAGAAGAATGGAATTGAATAAGATAATATAAATAGAAAAAGTGAATTAAGCTTAAAATAAACAAATAAAATGTGATGTGGATGTGGATGTTTGGTAAAAAAAATATGAAACAGCTGTAAAAATATCATATAGTTGTTATTTTTTATATAGTTTAAATTTTGGTTTAGATTTCTACCTTTAAAATTAGATATTTTTTATGGTTTGACTTCTTATCAAATTTAAAATGACTTTTATATTAGATTATAATTCGCGTTAAACGCGAGGAAGACATAAAAAAAAAAAAGTATAAATCATTGAAGGACATATTTGTAGATAAATTTTTATGTTAAAAGGAATTGAATGCATTAATGGATTAAAATAAATTTATTCAATTCTACAATACATATATTAAACAAAATTAATAGAGTTCATCTTATCTCACCCCTACCATACCCCTTTCTATGTAACAACCCAAAAATATGGATAAAATTTTTGTTTTTAATTTCATTCAAATCACACAACATTAGTAGCAAAGTAGTCAAAAGAGTATCATAATAACATATTATCAGAGTACAAATTCCCGACATCTCTAAATGCAGAAATCATAGGGTGATGCAGTGCGATAAGGTCGGACTCTTCCTCTTAGATTTTTTTTTTTTTTTTCTGGAAGTACCTAAAATATAAACTGAAAATTGTAAGCACAAAGCTTAGTGAGTTCCCCCAAAATATCACATACTGAATAAACATATTGCCAAGCATGTATGGGTGCTTGCCTACCATTTCGGCATATTTCAACTGGATACTATCAAGCATGTTTGGGTGCTTGCACTCCCCTTCCGTCTATTTCAATCGGATATTGTCAAGCATATATGGGTGCTTGCAATCCCCTTCATTCTATTTTAACGAGATATCGGGTCTATTTCACCCCATACTACTACTACATAATATCATAACAAGAATCACAGAGTTATCAAGCAAATACAGGCATAACTGACAATTGTCATAAAGACAATCATCACACTATATCATAAATTAATGGGTCGACATTAGTGCCTTTGTCTCATAGATACAACGAATGAAAACTCACCTATTGATCGATGATTAACTATTGCTACTCTCACGATCAGTTATATTGGTGCTACTCCACACCTAGATAACAATGCAAGGCAAACCTTAGATTTGCCCTTCAAAACCACAAGTTTACAAAAAGTCAACTTAGGTCAAAAGTCACCGCCTAAGGTAAAAGGTCATCTTTATCCTTACCCACCCTCACATTGTGAGGATCGACTCGACCCAAACCCACTCATTGAGTCGACTTAGTTTCACTCATCCAACAAAATCCTCAGATTGAGACAACCATCTTGCTCACATCATAAGTTTCCATTTCTCACTTCGTGAGATCGATTCTGACCAACTTTGAGCATTAAGCTCTTAATCCTTTAAGACATACATTGGGACTTTCAAGAACACCTTCCTCGACCTTAAGGACCATAAAAATTGTAGCTTTTCAGTCATGCATGTCCAATGCATGACTTATACACTAATTAGGTTAAAAGAATGGTATTAAGATCAAGACTCAAGCTCGGAGTCCAAAACCCACACCAAAACTCAGATCCAAGACTCACATGTAGTATATGTCTCAATGATCCATAGAGTTGCCAACTTTTATGGAACTTATGCATGTTAAACAACCTAACCATGCAAATAAAGGTTCCAAAGCTTAGATCTAGCATGCTTAAGGTAAAAAGATAGAAGCTTTATGACTTACAAATGCTCACAAGCTCAGCAAATCTAAGAGGTAGAAACTAGATTGCCAAAATGAAGCACCGCAAGAGCCTTCTTCCGCTTCAAAGAACCAAAAACCTCCAAGTAAGTTATTCAAAATCACCAACAATGGCCCTAGGTCTCAAGGAAGTCGAAGTTAGGGTTTTCAAGGGGCTAGAGAGTGAGAAAGGATGAGGATGGGCGATCCTAGCCCTCTAATTCCCTTAAATACTCAAAAATTAGGGTTTTGGATCATCAGACCTGGCTCACATCGTGAGGTTCGATAATACAAGTCAAATGGTTAATGAGCATTCTCACGTCGTGGCCACTATGGCTCACATTATGATCCTCTTCTAAAAATGCAAACTTCAAGAATTTAAGTACCTCAAGGATTTAGATGCTACAATCTATCTCTTACTAATTTAACACACACACACACATACAAAATGAAGAACCAAATTAAGATCTCATTGCTTGTTACACTTTAGTTGTTTTTTGGTTGTGAGTTGTATGTATCCATATTCTCAACAAAATTAACATCTAAGAAAAAGAGTTATAAATACCTAGAATCTCAAACATATTCGAAATTAGACAAAAAAAAATTAATGGTTGTAGTCATTACATCGATCTCTTAACCTATTTTAGTCTTTTTGGCACCACGAGCGGTCATCACTCTCCTGTTACAGTTGTATGCAAACCATATTTAGTGTAGAAACCCTTAGTTCAAGGAGATTTTTTTTTATGTGAGAATTTTGCGTAACCGACTCTGAGTCGCTATTTTAGAACACAAAACCATCAAAGATATGTGAATGTGAACTTAGAAAGAAACACCAACAATACATGGCTCCTTTTAGGAATCGATTGATACTTCTACTACATATATACTGAGGGATATAGAGCATAAAGGGATTGAGGACACATTGAAAGCTTTTGAGTTAATGGATGAAATTGTATGATGTCTTGCTTGCTAGATTTTAATTTATTCATCCTGAATTCACAAAAAGACTTGAGGAAGAAATTACTCAGATAAATGTTACATAAAACTTTAAGAACCCCATAGAGAAAAAAAAAATCCAAAGTCCACCAAATATTCCTACATTGATATATTATCGTTTCATTACACTTGCTTATGTTACATAAACTATAAATCTAATCACTCATGGAGATACTGTGAAGGATTTGGAAAAAATAACCATTAATGACCAAAGAGTCCTCTTAAAGTAATACGCTTTCTTAGTCTTCTGAGGACTTTGATGATAAGAAACAATAATAATTAAATGATATTGTTGTTTGAATTCAAAAGAGAAGTGTGTCACTAAGTCAACTACATACTTAGCTTCCTAAGAAAATTCAAAGGGTTCCTCACCAAAGAATATCATTACAAACCCTTGAATTTAATTTCATGCATCGTCTCACTAAGCAAGACTATGTCCTTAATCAAACCACTATTGCTCCCTCTTCAATTGGTTTCTATTGGGACATACCCAAGTTGAGGTCATCTGAGAACTCAATATTAAAATGGAAAACAAGGAGCAGTTCATAAAGGAGTTTAAATGACTTTAATAATTCTTTTTAGGATACACTTAAAGCGGAAGCCAAGTTGGTCTCTATGATATATATAACTAAGGTTCGTGGATACAAAAATAAGCCTTTCCAAAAGGTTGATTCTCTTAATATAAATCTAAGAGAACTAACGAGACCTCCTACATTGTGATACAAGAAGACTTTCAACAGATTAACCCCAAATACATCTTGGTTGTTAGAAAATACTTCTTCCATAAAGTCGAGTCCCATTAAGAATATCAATTTCCTTTCATTGAAGTTAGAATGTACTTGGATTAACCGTAAATCACCCTGAATATGGGCCCAATTTAACAACTTGTGTATTAAAACTTAAAAGTTATTTTACTTGCTATTTTACATTTGCTATATCTTGGATGTGTTTATTTTATTGTATTTCTACATCCTAGTTAGTTATCTATTTAGTTCTTGAGTTTTACACTCGTTTATGGGACCAAGCGTTTAGTTCTATTTAGGATATAGTTTTTATCACTTGGATTTGAAGTATGACCACTAACATAAGAATTTTTTTATAAAGTTTTATGTTATATAAGGGAATAGAGACAACTAGTCTATATGACCATTTTACTTTATATATGTATAAAGTTGAGTAATGGGTATTTATGTCGCATATGACATGACATTGTTATTCATAGGTAGAAACTGTTAGTGGTAGTATACCAAGGTTATTATCATTATCATGGTGTCCGTGCTAAAGCGAAGCATACCCAAAGGATTGAGGAAGTTCATGTCTAGCAGAAGGGGAAGGCCCAAAGGAACGAGTACGTTTATGTCCAGTTTAAGGGAAAGGCCTAAGAACTCCAGCTACTCCTCAGTCCATGTTGACTCAACTACTTATGTTGACCATCGATATTGTTGCGACCATCATGGTTGTGATCCCGACAATTATGCATGTTTCATCAATAACTATTGGTATCCTCCATAAATACGAAACTTGTGTGAGTGTCCAATATAGAGAACAAATGAAAATGTTGAGTAGTCTAAGTGATTTATTTGAACATTTTGACTATGTATTTGGTTCATTCTATGTTCTCGAGTAACAACATAGATCTAGTCTCCATATACGAGGGAATAAGTGATTGGTGGCAGATCATACTTGCAACATAATCAAATTTTAGATCAAGTCATTGATAATGTAAGGCATGTGATTTTTCTCTAGGACACCAACATCCATAATTAGAAGGAGACTGGTAATTTTTTTAATATGAGTGCAAAATTTAGTGATTGTGGAATCATGACAATAATGTTGTGATCTGTAAAGGTCATTGTCATGTTGAATAGCTTTAGCGCCTTGATGTCCTGAAAGAGAGACTTGAGGTATTTATGTACCTGATA